CCCTTAAATTGATCACTTCTGACTTTTAATTTTAAATTTTGTGCCTATTTGGTCAAATTAATAATCTCATTAGTGCTTTTGAAGAAAAATAACTACTGAATTAGTTGAGATTAACTCAGTTACGTAAGTTTACAATTTTACTATTAAAAATATGATACATATCACTTTATATGCGTATTTTTCATAAAAAAAATAAAAAAATTAAAAGTTATAATCAATTGTACCAAATTGAAACAAACTCATAAATTTATAATCAAAATCAAGTTAATAGAAATTATATTAATCAAAATAAAAACTAAAATACATGTACTGTTGTAATTTGTCCTAAAACTTAACCATGAAGATGGCTGCCTTCAAAGAGTAGTCACAGAAAATAAAATCACTCACAGCTATCTTCAGATGACAAAATTGCTCTTCAACTATCCAAATATATATATATATATATCAACAATCCATCAATCAAAACTCGAAAAAACGCCTCTGAGCTCTCAACAAAAAAAACAAAAAGTACCCTCTGCTCTATTCTCGTTCCCTCTCTCTAGATCTCGATCCATTCTTCTTTCTCTCTCACCCATCTCAAACCTGCTGATTTTTTGATATACTGTTTTAAACTTGTATTTTTCAACTGTAAGCAAAGACGTAGATTTGGGTGGGTTGAGATGCAACTTTTATAGTTGTATTCTAGCCATCTCACAGGGTTTTCCAAGTGTTCAGTCGAACTCATGTTCCTTGAAATAGCTTTATTATAATATATAAGGAGACATGTACATGACTTATTGCATTTGAACTCTCTGGCCCCCAGTTCACCACTTTCATCATTTTTAGATTATGATTCTATTATTATGTAATAGAAATGAGTACTGTTAGACATTATGAAAAAAAAATATTATAAAATGTTTTATGAAGATTTTTTATCATTTGATTAATGTGTGATGTTTATTATATGTATAATTTAATGGTAAAAAATTTTCATAAGCATATAGAAATCCTCCATTACAAAAATAGAATTGAGAGATCAAAATCTCGCATTTGTTACCATTGCTATGATGATAATAGAGTGGTAAACAAAACATGGTGGTGGAGTCACAGGGTGCCTAGGGGGTCACGTGGCCCCCTAGATCTTTTTTTTTTTTATTTTTATATGTGTATATATAAAATTTTAAATAAAAATAATATTTAGAATAAAATGTTAAGGGCATTTTTAAATTTATAAAAACAATAGTGATTGTTTTATTGAAAATGAAGTGATTACAACGAATTATATTTTTATGTATGAAAATTTTGTGAAAAAATGTCAATATAAAAGCAATATCCATCATTATTGATATGTAAATATCATTAATCTCACAATATATAGTAAAAATTACTAGAGTGTTAGTTATATTTATATGTGAAGTTCACCCTTCATATGTTGCTTTATTATTGATTGGCGATATTATATGTTAATAATAACGTGATATCACTATTATATGAAATTTTTACTTAAATTTTGTAAAAATTTAATTTATCTTACTATTATATAATTTATTTTAAGACGTAAATATATGATTTTTTTTTTTTTTTACATTATCTATGATACATTAGTTATACGTAATATTTTCTTTTCAATTTTATTGGAAATTAATTGTAAAATTTTATATGAAATACTTTTGTAATAATTTATTTAAATTTTTATACTTATTATTAATTTAAAAATTATTATTATCTTCTTATTGTGGGTTATGAAAAAAAAATTAAATTATTATTATCTTCTTATTGGTAGTCATGGAAAAAAAAAATTAAAGTTCTAGCCATCCCACAGGGTTTTCCGAGTGTTCAGTCAAACTCATGTTCCTTGATATAGCTTTATTATAATATATAAGGAGACAGGCATGGCTTATTCCATTTGAACTCTCTGGCCCCAGTTCACTCAAAAAAACTCTCTGGCCCCAGTTCACCACTTTCAACATTTTTAGATTATGATGCTATTATTATGTAATAAAAATGAATAATGTTAAGAATTATGAAAAAAATATTATGAAAGGCTTAATAAAAAATTTTCGTTATTTGATTAGTGTGTAATGTTTTATCATATGTATAATTCAATAGTAGAGAATTTTCATGAAGCATATAGAAATTTTCCATTACAAAAATGGAATTGGGAGAATTAAAATCTCGCATTTGTTACCATTGCTATGATGATAATAGAGTGGTAAACAGAACCTCATAATTGAACTTCATGCAGTTTTAGGCAACAGGTATATATATATATATGTTGTTTCAATCTTGTTTTCTGTGAATTTTGTTTTGTAAAACATGTTTTTGTTTTCAACAGATGGTCGCAGATTGCAGCCCAATTGCCCGGGAGGACCAACAACAAAGTCAAGAACCTATGGAATTCCTCAATCAAGAAGAAGCTCAAGCAGGGAGGCATTGACCCAAAATGGCTGCCTTCAAAGAGTAGTCACAGAAAATAAAATCACTCACCGCTATCTTCAGATGACAAAATTGCTCTTCAACTATCCAAATATATATATATATATATATCAACAATCTATGAATCAAAACTCGAGAAAACACACCTCTGAGTTCTCAACAAAAAAAACAAAAAGTATCCTCAGCTACATCCATAGCTAACAACAAGCACCCAGAGAGGACTGATCCCTCCACAAAATTTCCAGCATATCGAGTTTTGTGAAAACAAACACATTTTTTGATCAATAAAACTCAATTGTTAGTTATTAAATTAGCATCTATGAAAATTAGTCTTTCTACTCTTTACAAAGTACCAAAAACTTATCAATTCAACTCCTCCTAAAGACTCTACTCTTTACAAAGTACCAAAAACTTGTCAATTCAACTCCTCCTAAAAACTAAACTCTTAAGAAAGTCACCGTGGCCAAACACATGATTTCCAATAACCAAACTCCGGACCGGACATCATACAAGAGCATCACTCATTCCAATTAGTTCACCCAATCATATGCAACACACTCCCAAAACCATCGGTTAGAGAGATTCCAACATCGAGAAAACCACCAAACTGACGACCCGAACAACTACCTGAACAGCCACCCTTAAGCTCTAATTCTACCAGATTCAATCAAATACAAGCTCTAACACTAAACCATCTGATTCTGAATCCGTTTTCTTATCACCGGCTCCCCGTGATGTCGTCACGGGCGCCGGTAATGCCGTCAAATATAAATTCGGAGTATTCGAAACTTGTTTTTTGAAATGTGAAGCTTGGAGACATCAAAGAAGATGCAAGCAAAAGAAGAAATAACAGAACAAAGAAGTCGCAACAAGAAGTAAATAGTAAACTTATCTTACCGGGCAAGGGCAACGGCAGCCTCCTCTCTATTCTCGTTCCCTCTCTCTAGATCTTGATCCATTCTTCTTTCTCTCTCACCCATCACAAACCTAGCTGATTTTTTGATATACTGGTTTAAACTTGTATTTTTTTGACTGTAAACAAACTTTTATAGTTGGCAAGGAGACATGCATGGCTTATTTCATTTGAGCTCTCTGGTCCCCAGTTCACCCAAGGAAAAAAAATAAAAACTCTCTGGCCCCCAGTTCACCCAAGAAAAAAAAAAAAAAAACCAAACAAAACAAAAAGTACCCTCTGCTCTATTCTCGTTCCCTCTCTCTAGATCTCGATCCATTCCTCTTTCTCTCTCACCCGTCACAAACCTAGCTGATTTTTTGATATACTGCTTTTAAACTCGTATTTTTTCAACTGTAAACAAACTTTTATAGTTGGCCACCACATATGGTTTTTTGAACTGTTTGAACTGCATGGCCCCCAATTCACCTAAAAAAAAATTCTCTGGGCCCCAATTCACCCCAAAAAAAAAATATATAGCTTTATTATAATGTATGTGATCTTAGTAAGGCAACTTGCATGACTTAAACTCTCATCTCTTTCTATTTGAATTCTTTACATTCAACTCTCACTACAAGAATTTACACTTTTAGCGATCAAAAAATTGGTCGCTAAAAGCCTATTTTTGGTCGGCAAAAGTTATCCGCGACTAAAATTTTTGGTCGCTAGTTTGGTCGCCAATTAAGGGTCGGCAAAAGTAATTCGCGACCAAAATTTTCGTTGATCGGCAAAAGTTGGATTTGCCGACTAAAGTTTTGGTCGCTAAATATTTAATTACCGCGACTAATTTATTTTGTCGGTAAAACACTTTGGTCGCGAAAAGTGATATTTTCGCGACCAAATTTCTTAGTCGCCAATTGTCACATTTCGCGACCAAAAAGTTTGGTCGCCAATTATCACATTTCGTGACCAAATTTTTTAGTTGCCAATTATCACATTTCCCGACCAAAAAATTTGGTCGCCATTTGTTACTTTTCGCAACCAAAACTTTTGGTCGGCAAAAGTGAGTTTCCACGACCAAGAGCTGTTTTGGTCGGCAATAGATGTATTTTTTACGACCAATACTCTTAGTTGGCAATTGTCATTTTTTACGAAAACAAATTATTTTGGATGTCGCGACTAATAAATTGGTCGCCAAAGCAGGAAAACAATACACCTATAATTCCTAATAATTCATTCAATCCATAATAAACCTATACTTTTAAAGCATCATTCAAATTAATCGAATCATTAACATTCGACACAATACATAATTCATTAACATTCGACACAATGCAACTATTCTAAGCTTTCATTCACAAGTCACATCCATCTAGCATAACAATTTGAAACATAACTATTTGTTATCCATGCGCAGCTATCAACAAATAAAACTACTAATATTTGTTATCCATACACATCCATCCAAAAATATTTAATCCTCCCTTATGGAACCTAAATATTTAATCCTCCCTTGCAATAACTAAGAGCCACAAGGTCTCAATAAAATTTTCTCTCCTCTGCAGCTGCTTCAAAGGTCTCACCAGCCACAAGGTCCGGAACCTGGTCGTCGTCATCTTCTTGCACAGCAGTTGCATCGGCACCAGCACCGGCAGCAGGTGCCTTTCAACTTCAAGTCTAACAACCACCCTTTTCAGTTTTTGATATACCAAGTAATATTTCAACTTCAAGTCTAACAACCACCCTTTTCAGTTTTTGATATACCAAGTAATATTTCAACTTCATTGGAACAAACATTTTGTGGTGAAAATGATACCAAATCTTTAAATAAAATTGCCGACTGAAGTCAAAGACAAAGATAAAGATAAAAAGTCATTCCAAAATAGTCCGTGAAACTTCGAATAAAGTCATACCATAAGAACCATCGGTATGACTATCTCTGATGGTTGATGAGGCATAAACTGACAATAGAACTGATTTATTCAAACCAGCTTTCAAGATGCTAAATCCAAATGGAAGGCAAGGGGCATGCTGCACTATTGCCAAGAATGAAAATAACATTTCAAAACCATGGTTATGAACTGCACATAAGCATACAAGCAAAGCTATTTCCAAGAAATCCCAAGAACTGTCACTTTCAAGGAGTCCTACATCATTTCAAATAGAAGTTTTGTTGATTAAGTACCACATGAAAAAAAAAATAAAAAAATAAAAAAACATAAAAACAGAAAGAAAGTGAAATGTATACAATTGTACAAAATTTAACTTTTCCAAAAGAGTGCAGGAATACCATGTATCACTAGCACTAATGTCAACAAGAACCAGAAAAAATCACAAAACCTGTTTCACACAAACTAATCAACATTTTTATTTAAATCTAAATATTTTCCTATTTTATTTTTAACCTCAACGAGGCAAAACGTCAAAACACATAGCTTTCAGGTTTCTTTGGTCACCAAGTTTCCTAGTGTTCAAGCTAGATTCTAACATAATTGGCATTGTGTAACAGACATCTTGAATAAATTTAATGTTGAATGTCCTCAAGTATGATTTCCAAGGCACTTCCCTCTCAAGTATGAAAGTTTGCAGTTATTAGTTAAACTAAAAAATATGTGGCGTTTCTGCATTAATACGAGATTTCGCTTCTTATTACATATTACAACTATTTCCACAGCTATCCGAAAATGATACTAACCTTCACTAAAACAACCTAGCTCTTCCTTAGTTTCTGGTCTAATACTTGCACTTCTTTAATTATTCAGCTAAGCTGACTGCTTAGTTGCCCCATGCCTAATATTTTTGAGTCTTTGATGACTTTTCACTTCAAAGAGGCTCAAGACTTGATAATCAATGCTATGGGCTTTATTCTCTATAACTAGTCATGCACGTGTGTGCAATTATGATTTAAAGATGCTTCATTCAACAAGGAGGAAAGAAGAAGAAAAAGGGGAACAATAGAACTAGGGGGACAGCCTTAAAAACAAAGGGTCACTACATATGATGTATCTAGTAATGGGTTTTTAGCTATGGAAAGTTTATAGGCTTAGAGTTCTAAAAGGTGGAGGGCAGGTTTGACTGTTTTAGATGGGAAAAGGGTGACAATTGGCTTGATTTTCAGAAGTATTTGGTTGTTGGGTCTTAAGAAGTGGTCCCAAAATGTTCCAGGAAAACATTTATTTTATGATATTTTGGTGTGACAATAAAAGCTGAAAGGCAAGGACAATGGTTGGTGGCAATTTAGGCTTGATTAGGTAAGGTTCTTGTGCCTGAAATTTGCACTGTTTTGGGGCTGTGAATAGTAACCCAGGAATAAATGTTTTGTAAATAAAGAAGAGGAGGAATAACCCCCTAAGGTAAGGTTTCACAAAGCATCACTCAAAGTGACAAATGTTTTACATCAAATTTCAAGAGAACTCCATAGAACAGATATATACGTATTTATAGAGTGCTGGGTTCTCCTAATTCTATTAGGACCATGATTCCAAAATTAAGAAAAGTTAAGAAGCTTTGATTTGTTACAAATTTACAATATTCTATAACTAATAAAGACTCCATATGAGACTCAAATAACAATATTTGACCCACGGGTAAACTGTAAAATTTTTAAAATAACAACATACTCCAAGCAATTAACAACCAATAAAAACCAACAACATTCTAACATACAAAATTAAGTATATGAAAAGGATGTATATAATGAAAATGAGTACCTTTGAAATGTTGTGTGATTGACATTTATGTATCAAATTGAGTAGAAATTTTTGGACAACCACAACATAGCATGCCTCCAGAATTCGTAGTGCCAAGTGACCAAAAAGTAAACTTTTTTCATAAACTGAAGTTCAAAATATTACAGAGTGCTTAACGAGGGGTAAAATAAAAGACGGTTCAGTAAAATGAACTATAAATGTATTTTTTTGGAGGTCACTAGACTCTTCTCATTGGGAGAAGCAGTGGTGAAGTTGAAAGCAGTTTGGTCAGGATAAATCAAGGGTATTTGCTGGTTTTTGAGGAGTGATATGATTAAGGTCAAGGGACTTGTAAGGGTGAGGGGAAGCTGAGAAAGCATGTGGATTAAGGAAACAGGAAAAACACTATTGATTAATGATCAATTGGAAATTAGATAGGTGGATTGGTCGTACAAGATTCAACACCAAGTATCTGGTATTGAGCCTTATTGAGCTGACTTAAGATTAGCATTAGGTGAGTCATACCTTCACATCATTAGACACGTAACCGAAGAAAATGGACTAAGGAAGAACCTTATCATCTTGGTTATATAAGCAATTTAAGATTAGTGCTCGATCATTGGCATGTCGCACTTGCTTAAGAAAAACGTGAACAGAATCCACACTTGGCTCTCCATGAGCTGTGTCTAGCAGCAAAACTAGTTTATTTGTTAAAATAATTTGAATTATTTATTTTAACTGTAGTTATCTTATAAAAAGATTTCCAAAGACTCGAAATAGTAGAAGTAAGAATCAAAATAGAAACTAGGAATATGAATCCATGAAGAAACAGTAAGATACCTGTTAGCATCCTCGGTCTTCTTTCCAGCTATTCTTCCTTTGGATGCCCGCTGATAACTGTCAAGAGTGCAAGTTAAATTTAAAACCAATTTAATACATGAAAAATAGAATCAACTAACAAGATAAATTCATAAAAATACTCCTATGAATACTAACCTGAGAGGCAACATCAACTCTAATTTCGTCTAGGACCTGTCAAGTAAATAAATAAACTACCAAGTATATTTCTAGTTTAACAAGTATATTTCTAGTTTTCCACAAACATTAGCAGAAAAATGCAACAGAAGGCCCAATAGAAATGAAGGCATTCTAAAAAAGCTCACCTAAACGTCTAATGAAATGTGTCTTACGCGAATAATAGCATTCAGTAGAACAGACAAAAAAAGTTCAAAACAAAAATTCATGAAATAAGAATAATAGAATCATACAAATGCAGAAAAATCAACCAATTCACAGACCTCGTGACCAGGAGGACTAATATGGAAAATGCAAAAGTTGTGGAGCAGCAAAGAAGCTGCTTCAGGACAAAAGAACAATCCTTGGAAACAGGACATATCTACTCAAAAAGTTGCAAAACCAGGTACTATTACTTCATTAAGAAAATGCAGCGCATAAAGTTTGTTACTGAAAATTCTCAGAATAAGCCATTGGAGATAATGCACTGAAATATAGAATTGTATTTCCAAGAAAAACACATAATGAGAGTGAAAACAAAAAATCAAAAGAATCAAACCCCATTATAGAATAAAACACAACCAGAAACAATCTACTATCACTAAGACCACAAGCTCTGCTTAAATTGTTGTTCTTTTGTTACCTAGAACCAACAAACTAATTAATAGGCACTAATCAAAACATGAATTGATTATATTCAAAACCCTAGAAAGTAATTTACTCTATGAGATAGATAGACATATGCCTCATTGATAGCGAGCATTTGACCATTGCTTTTCTTCACCTTCTTAAGCTTCCTCAGAAAATACCTTAGAAATTTAACCAAAACACAATTGGAATCGAAAATAATATACTCAAACCTCATACATACATATATATCTACATATACATACCAGAACTTGGACTTGGCCCGAACCTCGTTGGTGGCCCAGAGCTTCATGCGGTAGATCTTCGGATGCTGATCGGTCTCCATAGGAAGAGCTCTCCCTACAACCTGATACTGATGAATCGCGCAAATCGCTGCGAGAGATGTACACAGATACAGAGAGCGAGCAAGATCATACGAAAGAGAGATTGAGAGATCAAGAGAGGAAGAGAGATTGAGACATCGAGACAGAAACAGAGAGATTGAGAGATTGAGGGAGAGATTCATACGGGTGGAGTTCTAATGGGCATGTGAGCGAGAGCAAGAGCGAGACAGAGAGCAAGAACGAGAGAGAGAGAGAGAGACATTAGTGAGCCTACTAGGGCAAAACTAAGAAAAGGGCGCAAATAAATGAAAGAAGAAAATGGGAAGCTTTTACGACTTACTTGCTTTGTTTTTTCTACATTATTATTTTTTATTTTTTTGCCACCGCTAATCAAACGGTCACAAAAAAATAGACACAAAAAGTCAATTTTTTAGTAATGCTAAAAAAAATATTTATTGACGAAAATAAATTCTATCATCTATTATTTTTATTTTTTTATTATATGTGATAAAATTTTATAATTCATCACAAATTATTCTTATTTAGTGATAAAATTTATTTTCTTTGCTATTTTTCGTCACCATAGGTTACTTAGAGAGCTAATTAACTTGTGTTTTGTTTTGAGAGAGAGAGAGAGG